TGATATCCTTGGGGAGAGAGTTCCAGAGCTTGGGGGTGCAACAGGAGAAGGCCCTGTCACCCACAGAGTGTAGAGGGGCTTGGGGGACAGACAGGAGGGCAGAATTAGAAGAGCAGAGGTTGCGAAGTGGGGAGTAGGGTGATAGTAACTCAGACAGGTACTGAGGTGCCGAGCCATGCAGAGCCTTATAGGTGAGCATGAGGATTTTGAAGTTGACACGAAAGTTGACAGGAAGCCAGTGCAAGGACTCCAGGATAGGGGTATTGTGATCACTTGACCTGGTCAGGATTCTGGCTGCCGAAATTTCGACATACTGGAGTTTGTTCAATGTGGATTTAGAAACCCCAGCGAGTAGAGCAATATAGTAGTCAATTTGGGAGAAGACAAATGTGTTGAACAGCTTTATAGACATAGTTAGTGATGACATAGGATGTAGTTTAGTGATATGGAAGTACAAAACACATCAATCAAAGGATCTGCAGGTAATGTGTGTCTTAACCATTAGGAAAAAAATTAAATGAGAATGGTTTTCATGATGGGCAGCACAGTGTGCAGCAGTTAGCAATTCCAGGGGTGCAGCCTGGGAGAAGTTTGGAGGGCCATTTTTTCTCAGAAACCAGTAACCTACCAGAATGTCTGTGGGCTGTGCAAAGAAACCAGAGCACCTAGAGGACGGAAACACACAAAACCACAGGGAGAACGTAAGAACCACACAGGTGTCATCCCAGGGATGAAAAGGGACTCAGGATTGCAAGGCAGCAATGCTAATCACTTTCCTCTTCTTGTCCGTCTCCCGATTGTCCACCTGCGGCTTCTGGATGTCCTCTTCTTGTCCGTGTCCTGACTGTCCACCTGCGACTTCAGTCTTTCCTGCTTCTTGTCGTCTCTTGACTGACCACCTGTGGCTTCAGACTGTCCTGCTTCTCCACTTCCTGACTCGTTGGTCTCCTGACTGTCCACCCGCGGAGTCGTAAGTTCCAGCTTCTTGTCCATGTCCTGACTGTCCACCTGCGACTTCAGTCTTTCCTGCTTCTTGTCCATCTCCTGGCTGTCCACCTGAGGATTTGGATTCTCCTGCTTCTTCTCCATCTCCTGACTGTCCACCTGCGTCCTCAGACTTTCCTGCTTGTTGTCTGTCTCCTGACTATCCACCTCCGGCGGCTCAGGACTGTCCTGCTTTTTGTCCGTCCCCTGACCGTCCACCTGCGGCTTCAGACTGTCCTGCTTCTCGTTGGTCTCCTGACTGTCCACCTGAGGATTTGGACTCTCCTGCTTCTTCTCCATCTCCACCTGCAGCCTCAGACTTTCCTGCTTCTTGTCTGTCTCCTGACTGTCCACCTGCGGCCTCAGACTTTCCTGCTTCTTGTC